CCTAAACATTCTCTCGACGATTTTCTGTTGTCCACTGCTCATATGGCTATTAATGAGCCGATGTGCAGCTTTCTATTAATCAGCAGGTTATCCTTCAAATAGTAACCCTATCCAATGGCTTCCAAGCCCAAGTTAGGCGCTGCAATGTGCGTTTGCGTGTGAAAATTGGCATAAATGAGGTGTAAGAACAAACATGAGGATTAAACACGAGGAATGACTTCTCCCCTGGAATGTAGTCTTGCTATGCCGGCATACGTGACAGCAGCGCGTGCGTACATGCGTACGCGAATTACGCGTCATTGGTCAAAGTTGCTAATGTACCCATTCGCGGTGTCTACACCAATACTGTCTCCCACCAACATCAAAAGTAGGTACGGAACCAAATGTTTAACTGAAATGTTTTTGATTATTACATCTTTAGAGGTTCATGTGAGGGCATTTAGATGTCAGAATCGAAAACGAGGATGCCAGATGTCTGCTCAGCCATTGAAGATGATTTGTGTACATTACTGCAGGCTTTCAAGGAGAAAGCCAGCTTGAGGTACTGCTTAATTTGAAGCCAGTATAAGATCGAATCAGTGATGTACATGGATAGCTGGGACACAAGAAAAAAATACTGATTGCGACACCCCTCTGGAACTATCACTCCTTACTGCTCTTTCTAAAACTTTGATCCACGTTGACTTCACATAGGTATTCATGGAAACGCCCTCCACTCCACTAGGGAGTCGGGTCTCCAAAGCTAGGTACTTTTCAGTCGAAAAGAACGTGGGATGTGACAGATTTGGAATGAATCCACTGCTTTGGGGCAATGTCAGGGGCGGTTGGGGTGGCGCCTAGACGACACGCCCAAAATAGTGTCAGGACCTCATATCCCGATCTACAACCGATTAACGGTCCTGCTCAGATAGGTTCGTAGAGTCCAAGTTCGTGGTGTCGCAATCTTCCCTTTTCACTCATAACCATTCATTGATTTGGGATATCGATTGAAACAGATGGGTAAAAGTCTAGAGCGATTCCATAAACCCCTGGAAACATCTGCAGTCTCTAAGTGACGATGCCACACTTTTTTCTGGCAAATCTTGGAAAAAACTCGATGTTTCAGGCTCGTCAAGTTTTATGAAGTGGCTGCCGATTATCACTTGCAGGATGTGTATGCTGGTCGTCTTAATGTTGCTGAATATCTTGAGGTAGGCACCAATACGAATACAATTCTTGACGTTGTAAACCGTATTCACGGTCTGCTGGTGTTTAGTACCGCCAAGTAATGGTAGCACCTTTCTTCGAACCAGACAATGTTCATGTGCGTCGTTAGGTCTGTTCGTGCAACAAGCACATAGCAATAGTGTACACAGCAAGCGGATCGGTCGTGCATCATGTCCCATCAAAGTTTCGCTGCACTGTGATCATTTAGACATACGCGCAGGAAATTCACGCATCGCCGCATCCTGACCTAACAGCCCACATCTGTTATAGATTAAGAATATGCTTTTCTCCGAAGTCGTTTTAACAAACTGTTGAGAAAAAAGGAATTGTGTAAGCCTCTCATCTGAGCCATATACGCCCAATACTCGCTTAAAAGATTTCAAGTGATAATGGTTTCACAAATTCAATGAAAAGAAACGCAAAGGCTGAAAGGCATACAGGTTAGGCCTTGAGTTGAGCTCTGCAGAATATTTATTTCGAGGTTCGGCCATATTACGAGTGGAATCTATGATGGAGTGTGGCCTGAGTGTCTTCTGATTGGCTATTGCTGAGAACCCACCAATCATAGACGACCCAGGCATGCACCGCAGAAATGCGACACAGACCTCTCTAAGTTGTGATGCTGTCACGCTGTCAAGCCTACCTTTAGAATTCTTACTTTTGCAGCGAAAAAATTCTTGAAAGTGCATAGCACTTACTTTAGTTTGCCGAATGCTACCTGCGTTCAGCGTTCGCGTACACAGGTGAAGGAAGTTCGGAAACACCTAGGAATATTCTGGTAAGTTCCCAAGTCAGTCATGGTAAGCAAGGTATGTGCAGTCATGTTTAGTTTGACTAAAATGCAACTCGGCTTAAGACAAGGGCGAAGTTTTCGGTTTAAATAAAAAAAATCAAACTTAGTCCATGAGTGAATGGAAGTTTGGCTAGGAGGTTTCGCTTTTCAAAAAAAAATTGAGGCTGCTTTTTGGTTCCGAAGTGAATTGTCGTCTAGAAACTGCACTTCGAATTGAGTATTGATTTTGCCCATATGCGAGGCCAGATCTTTGCCTTCTATTACTTACTGTAATAGGGGACTATTCAGATTCCCAGCGATTTATGTTACTCTTTAGGAACGCGTTTTTGGCATCTACGTCACTTATTTCTTGTACTATGGTCAGGCTTCGGATTATCTTGTCAAGGTGAGTTTCCGCTTATATTAATTTAATGGGCTTACTAATTAGATCGTTGTTGAGGCGATTTTAGCTAGTTGTCTTGCAGCGTTTAGAACGTCCAGTCACCACCCGGCTTGTTAGTGGTCGCTGTAAAAGAAAAAAAGGGTGGGTGACGCTAACGGCAAGAGGTCTAGGCAGAGTTAATGACAACTAATTATTTGACAAAAATTCAATTGCCTATAACTTAACTGCAACTCATCACCCTTCTCGCAAAATCCGAATTGTCAAAATCAACTACCCACAGACCATCGTTGCAAAAAACCTCTTTTTTGCGATTTAAGCAGTTAATTTCTTTACGAATGGGAAAAATGCTTTTCGAAAACAGAAATCAGAGAAGAATCAAACTCCCTGCAAAGCGATTGCAAAAAAACTTCGCATGTTTAGATTCCAACAAATTGCTCCGACCTCGACCTTCTACTTAATTTTGTCAAATCAACTCTAATACCGTATCGGCATTTGGACGCTGTTGGCTGTATCTACAAGCTTGTCCACGATGATGCTTTCGCTATAATGCCGTTTCATAATGATGTAAGTATGCTTTTGTTGATATGAAAGTGCGTTAATCAATAAATACTAATTCGTGAGAGGTCCAAGGTTGAAAAGGGTTTTCTCTCTAAATGACCATACCATAGCCATGTTACTGAGCCTGGATCTCCAAATTGCCTTCCATGGTTGCTACAGTATGGCTTGGGATGGATTCGAGAGACTGTAGGTGTAGGTTGTGGACCTCGCGATAGGGATTTCTGTAGCCATTAGTAAGTAGTAATGTCGGAAGTTGCGCCAAATCAGAACCGAGACTGTTTTTTCCTCGAATATCTTTGTAAAAAAAACAACAGCGCAGAACGTCTTGACATAGAGTTTTTTTCAACAACGCTTCACCAATGAAAGGTGACAAGGGGTAGGCCAAGAGGTGCCATCAAGGTCATTATGATAAGAATGGCCACCGTGCCTTGCCGCACCTTGTGAGTTCAATGGGAACGCTTTTGACCAACTAGCATTCCGAGCTTCTGCTAGTTATGCTATTGCTTGAGCTATACTTTTTCTCTGATGGAATGCTAATTGTGAATGTATAGTACTACTCAAGTACTGGTCTGCCTTCAATAGTCCCTCAGTGCTCAGAGTTGCCATTGATCTATAACATTCGGAATATCCAAAGAGGAAAAAGACAAAGCGGAAGACGAACCTACAGGTCAGGCTCTCTGAATTAAATTGTATAAGAAGGCGAGTGAACACCGCCAAAATGCAAGATGTAAGAAGAAAGCGGAAAAATAGGCCTCCTAGGGAAACCCGAGGATTTCATGATCGGAATGGGAATAGTCAACGTGGAAGAGCTGGGAGTATGACGTCGGAATTGATTCGGAAGTGGCATCAGTTTCTGTGGTATGCTAATGTTTATTCAATCTAACGTGCGAAGCTTCGGCATCTATGCCGTCTCCAACGGCCTACGAAGTAAAAAAATGTCGAAATGCACGAAACTGTTTAATCGCACATAGAGAGAACGAACGGCATTTGAAATGTCAACATAGCAAGAAACGATAATGTCTCGCGAGGATAAACAATGAGGAAAATCGGAAAGGAATCGATCATGATTCAAAATACCAGGAAGGTACTATGAAAATACCAGCTTGTAACGTTAAGGTTGCCGCTCGGGAGAATGTTCAACAAATCCAATTTCGACTTGTAATCGCAGGATGATTTGGATGGATGGCTCGGGCTTACACAAATAGGAGCCTTGAGACTCGTACAAAATAAGTTGCGTGCATCGGCTGTTTTTAATTCATCGAATAATTAGCGCTGTTGCGTCTTCTCAAGCTGTGTTTGTGATGATAGGCGAAGTTCTAAAGCAGCAGGTGGCCCGTCGAGCTAACTAGTTAGTATAATCAACTAGAATATGTTTAGCGGCAATTCTCAGCTAGTTGTCTCGCGGCGAGTCCCGTCATTAACAAATTTCTGATAAAATTATTAGAAATTAAGCCTTCCCGGAGGGTTGTGTGACCGCACGAGCACTGACCAATGATTCCGTACGTGGGGTAGGATTACTTAGGTCAAACACTCACCAGAAATTTCGAATGGCCTCAGTAGCGAGATGGCAGAATTCGAACTAGTGAAGAAATTCGTGTCGAATATGGTGAAGCAGCACCGTCATCGTCGGAATGAATAAGAAAGGAATGGGAATGCAGTAAAGTTATGCGCATACAAGGAGGTTGTGCCTTGTATAGCAGCTCCATGGAAACTTCCTCAGCGTCCCGAAAAAATGCTGGACTTTGTTGCGGAATTGGGAGTTCCCTTCCGAACGACCTAATATGTATGTAGTTTAGGAAAGGAAAGAAAAGGAGAGGAATACGAAAGCAAAGGTTGGGAAATCATATTGGCTTGAATGAAAGTCACTGAAAACGAGAAACCGAGAAATGGCTAGAATTCAATTCAGTAAGCCTAGGAATAGTTTGTAACGGAACGTACAGCATCGAAGTTTTATTCAGTCAAGTGGTTATGTAGTGTTTGGAGATTCAACGGTTTTCTTCGCTTCCAAAGTTCTCCGTTATGAATTGGTGTTTTCTCATGGGTATCGGATTGCATCATAAAAAAAAATCTCATGGGACCGGCAGCTATGAGCGACGCTTTTTTTGCTACAACTATCGCAGCAGTTTCTGAGAACGTTACTGTCATGTACAAGTTAGTCAGTATACATCACTGTTGAGGATATGACAGTAACACTAACTATCACCTTCTGAAAGGGAATGAAAGAAGGAAGGAGAACCCTTGACAGCCCAGGCCATGGACCATTTATAGGGTCTTGTGTCGAGTGCAGTGAACCACAAGAGGATACCGTACTCGCCAGACTGCTTCTGTACCACCCACCATCTGTTATGGACTGGGGTGTGGGAAGAAAAACAGTCGTCAAGAGTCTTTACATCTCAATACTCATCGGGGTTCAACGAAACCAAACTGAAAGTTCACCGACTCGCTCCAAGTGGCCATACTTCTGGCCGTGGACCACATTAATGTTTAGGAATTACCTAACTATGTAGTAATATTTGATCCCCGTTCAAGAGTTTGGCCACTAGGAAGTAGTCGTAGTGCGTCAGTGCTCTTGAGGATGTATAGACGTGCCAATGCAGAGGGACGGTAACGGCATGAGGAGCCATAAACTCATAAATGAACGGAAACGTAATCAAAACTGCAAATGCCCTTCACAAACCAGATCAATTCCGCGATAGTTTTTCTCCTGGAGGAGATTTTCAGAGGCACGAATTCGACATGAACAGAGAAGGTTGTGGTAGGGGTTGGCACTGCCATCTGCCACATCGAGGATAACAGGACTTCTGGGATACGTGAACGAGTAAGGAATTGGAATGGAGAGCTTCGATACAGAGGGCCAGATGGGTTTCCTGTTGTATGCAACCAACGTTTTAGACCAAAGCAATAACCGACTTGTGCAGTCTGCTAGATGAGGAAGTAGACGTCCTGGATTCACAAAGACGAATTGGAGTGGTAGTCTGGTTTTATAGGGCATGTTTGTTGACGAGGGAGCACGGTTGGTGTACCAAGAGCACATGGTGGTGATAGATTGCCATAGCGTCGAAAGTAATACGTGAAACGAAAGTTTAGGGTGGTCGAGCGCTAGAGCAACACAGCCGATAGTGATTACTGTGGAATGAGCTCTCAAACTGAATTTTCGCTCCTGCGCTGAAACCGACTTCAGTGAATGAGTCCACTTTTTTCAAGGGATGGCAATGTCGAACAGTTAATAAATAGATTCTTCGAGAAGGAAGACGAGCCTTTCAAACGATGAACAGAATGGTGCAAACGGGTGATCTGCAAACTCGTCAAGTAGACGGAACCTGCTGGGTTGGACTAGCAGGCAACTGGTCCAACAGAGCCATTAGCCGCAGCGAGCAAAGAAAGAAAGGTCATATGAATGACTCACGATGCCGCCACCATTGCGATGACAGTATCCCCAACGTTCACCAGAATAATTCTGAATCATCACCTCTTTTTGCCATCGAGAGAGTGGAATTGAGACATACCTACAGGTAGAGCTTACCTGGGTCGCAGACCGATCAGGCGAACTCAGTTGAACGAAAATGAGCAAAGAGGATTCCGAATGACTGAGAATTCTGACAAGACTGAAGAGATGGCAGAACGTAGTGATTTTAGTCCTAGCGACCGAATGAATCGATGCAAATCATTCTGCCTTCAGTATTCGAGTAAGGAGAGGGTGAAGACAGGCGAGTCCTGGACTACACGGGGTTGAACCTTGTTTTGAGAGGAACAAACTCACAAACTCCGGAATATGGAGATCCATGTGAAAGAAGATGGAATGCCAACCTGGCAAAAATCAGTTTTTCTAAACGAATTGCCCAATTTGTGAAGGGGACTGCCATATAGATTGCATTTCCTATGACAATAGCTCTGAAAATAGAAAATCCCAATTACCATCCACAAAGAGCGATCTGAACAACGGCAATAACAGTCCCGAAACCACATAAAAACTCCTTCGGATAAAAATAGGAATCATGTTGGAATCAAAGTACGTGAGATTTTTTATTCACTGTAACTTGTGCTTCGATATTGATATTATGGAGTAAACATTCTGTCAGATGTCAACATCTTACGGTGGCTCTTTTAACTACATCGTAGAACCTTCTAACTGCGAGAACGCGGCACGGTGTTCTCTGTTTTAAGGTCCAGCCTGTTTCACTACAACTGAGTAAACTTAAGTTCAAGAAAAGGCTACGTCAAGTCGAGGAATGCCTAGAAGGTCTGGGAATGTGCCTAGAAGCTTCAAATTCTTACTGGTTTCTTGAACCCCCACCCCTTCCCTATAAGATTATCTCGTTTGTGCTTCGAAAGAATGGCATGACCGGGCAAATGGTATCCATATAACCTTGGCCCTCTGTTAGAGATACCCACGTTGATGTATACTTTCCCACAAAAATGGATTTTCAATTTCAGTTCGATCCGGCAACGCAGAAGAAGTACTATTCAAGTACCAAGAAGGATGGAGAAAATCATGATCAGGAAAACTATGTGCCACTGGAGATAACAAGATCAATTTTGGAGGGCCCGGTGTTCAAGGTATGTTATAGTATCTAGGCAATGCATGATGGCAAGCTTTTAGAAATGACTCATCTGAGGCGGGAATAACTCCAATATTGAGCCTCGACAAAGAAGTAAATATAATTTAACTACAATCAGGAGTAGTGACTCCAACCAAAGCAGGCGCATATTGCCGCTTCGTGGAATTCTGAGGTAGTTGAAGCAGAGTCGCAATAAAGGACGATCGTTATGAGCGCATGAATGCCGACGTTCTCAAAGCATCACATTGTGCGTGATGGGAACATGCTTTATGAATCGATTCCCAATGTTCAGACGAGGTCGCGGGCTAAAAAGTTACCGTAACGTACATCTACAACGCAGATCGCTCTCCACCGGCATCACCAAATCGAAAAAATTGAGGATGTTTACTCCGATGGTTCCTCTGAGGATACACCAGATCCATTCTCTCAAAAGAAACGTGGTAGGGGGGGGGGGGGGGGGGGGGGGGGGGGGGGG